TTTTATTTTTTTTATTTTTTTTTTTTTTTTTTTTTTTTTTGTTTATTCTTATATTATATGATCTTAAGATTACAATTTTCTTTCTCCTTTTTTAATATAATGTTATAGCTACTGAATCTTTATAAGCTGTACGATTTTTCACTTCACATATTCTGCACATGTTACTATACACGTATTCTTTAACATTTATTTATGTTTTAAATTCTCAACACGTTATTTTTATTATTATTCTGTTTTTTTTATTCACGTAAATACTATACATATTAATATTAAATGAATTACGATATAATTCGCATCACTATATGCAACTTATTTAATATTAATTTATATGTGATCATCTGCCATTAGATGTCATTTACAATATTTTATTTTCTATTTTAGATACATATTACTAATTTATTATAACGCACACGACTGTCTGAGCTATGTATTTTTCAATGTTTAGAAAACTTGACATATTAAAACCAAAGAATAGATATCTATCTAAAGGAAAAATGAAATAAAAAAGAAAAAAAAAATATATATATATATAAAAGTTAAAAATTCTCAAAGATATTTACAAATCTTTCATTTACGTACATAGTACGTAGTTTCGTATTGACTTTATTATATGCAATTATCTATTTAAAAAAAAAAGAAAAATTAAGATTTCGCGTATCGATGAATCGATATAAAAAAAGATAAATTTGATTTCTAGAAAAATGTAACACAGCTCTGACGCTTTTTTTTTTTTTTTTATTTTTATTTAAGAATTTTACTTGTCTCGTTCCACTGATCCTCTTGGTCCTCTAGCCTTCCACTCTGACGTGACATTTTTTTTTCAGGAGGGGAAAGGATTTGAAGGAACGTATGTTTTTATCTCTTTTTCTAATACTTTCATAAAAAAACAAAGATTACGATGTAAATCAATTCAGAATTTCTATAACGAGGTTAATATTACATGCGAACATTCGAGATATAAACTCTATCGAAATCGCGGAAACGCTTTGATTAAAGTTTTCATTACATATCTTGGTGTTTATTCAATAGCTACAAGTAATTGATTAAAAATTACATTAGCTTCTTTACACCATTGACTCAGAAAATTATATACAATGGAATAAAAAGAACAAGCAAAAAATCTGCAAGCGTCAAAGTATCTTTCATTGAGGATAACGAGAATCTCATTCCAAAAAAAAAAAAATACCGGTCAATCGGAAGTTTTCTTTTAAGCAAAACTTCGAGGAATCGAATTTGTAATGGCAGTTACGTTATATCTGTTCTGTTTTATCATTACTATATGATAAAAAATCATAATATCATTTACCTCAATCACTTCTTGCGTCTGATTTCATTTAAAAAATGATTTTAGTTTTTTTTTATATAGGTTTTGACATCTCTGGCATCATAAGTCATTATTTGTTACGAAAATTATATGTCAACAGTTTAGGACTATGAAAAACAATAAAGTTAGAAAAAGGAAAGATCGTTGTTTCGCTTTATAATGCAGGAATTGTTTGGATGTGATAAAAATTAAGAAAATATTTGGATGATTTTTTTTTATGTGGATTTTTACTTGGAAGGTCGTGAATACGGGGCGTTGCGGTAGCGCGAGCTTGAGCCCGATGTCGTTGTCGTCTTGTACGATTTCCATGCGCGGCTCGATGATTCCTCTGCGAATTTTATGGAGTTATTCATTTGCATTATTTTTATTAAATTAGTGCACCACCACGATATAGTATATATATAAAATATTAATCGGATAGTTTCCTAAGTATATGCTACACGAAGCGAGAGCGTTATATTATTTATAAAGTTTTAAGAAGAAAATTATTGCGAATCAGAATTGATAAATGATTCAGCTAATATCACACGTTATTATGCAAAGCCATTCCATGTTTATTTAGTATAGGATATTATAGGGAAATCTTTAAATTCGATGAGGAAAAAGATATATTTCAATTTTAAATAGTTGATAAAAATTATTTTCAATTAAAAATATTAATTTTTATTCGCGTATTATTTTATGTAGAAATATGAAATTTCTAGATTTTTTGTGAAAAACATCAATCTTAATATTTCTATTAAATCTTTTAAATTTTAATATAAATATAAAATTATTATATATTATTCAGTTATTATAACTAGAAATTATATTATTAATGTTTTTTTAGAATTCTGATAATATTTAAATTTCTTTTTAAACCATTTTATATTAATATAGCTTATTAAACCAATTTTATTAAATATTTCATACTTTGACTTTTTTTATCAATTCTTTATATTTAATTCAAATTCAAATTTAATATTTATAAATAATAGTTCAGTAAGAATTTGTCTATATATAATTTAAATCTAAAATATTTTAACTTTAATCTTATTATGTTATTCTCTGCATATCACACATGCGTGTACATATGTTTATGATAATTTTTATTTATTTATATGTTAAAATTTTATGCTAAAAAAAATAAGAATTATATTACCTGGATATTCTGATGTTTCATAGTAATTGTGAGAAGAGTGTGGCACAGTATCATCTTCGTATTCGTAAGTTGCGTACCTCGAGGAAGGATACATATCATCTCTAAATGATGTATAAAAGTACAATATACAGTGAAAAACTACATTATTCTAAACCTATGTTTCACAAATTAAAAAAAAAAATGTAGAAATTAAAAAAATAATAAACGGAAAAAAAATCAATTATGAAAATAAATACAAAATAATTGAGTATTGATACACCTAAATAGTTATAATTAAATATAAAAATATAATAGATACGGAACATCAAAATAAATAATAGATAAGAATGGATTGTCAATAAAAATATCAACAAATAACTTTTTTTGATAAAAATGTCGATTATACTTACCCTGATGTTGATGTATAATGTCGGTCTCCATATCGGCTACTACTGCTTGTTGATGTGTGGTAATCATAATCATGATGAGTTCCAACACGATTACTTGGAGGTGGAGTAGCAGTTTCATAGCTATCCGCAATATAATGTTATAAATTCAATACAATATTTCTATGATTAGTGAGTTTCTACATGATTAATTAAAAACTCACCCATAACTCTGATCCATGGCGACTCTTGCACGATCTAAAATAGAAAAAACTTTACTTTTTGCTGATACAGGACGTGTAATTGGTCCCCGACTAGAAGGCGGTGGAAGTATTGCCGCTAAAATGAAAAAAAAATAAGAACATCTTTTTTCTTTTTAAAAGCTGATAATTGGAAAAAATATTGCCAACCTCGCGAAGATCGTTGCATTGTTGGCCTTGCGGATGGTCTTAATATTCCACCAGCACCTGGTACACCTCTGACAGAAGGTCTTCTATCGTCATTACTCGTTGGATCATCTGCCATACTCATTTCCATTTCGCGCATTTGTTCTTGACGTATATTGTCATTATTATCTGGGATCAAATATTTCCGAACTTCGGCTAACGCAAATGCAATACGAGCATAAGCTTCTGCCGGAGGTGCAAGCGCTGTTATTTCAACATGTAAATCATCCGAAAGATGAGCATATTTCGGATCCAGAGACATACGATATTCTTCTTCCTATATCATAGAATAAATATACAAAAAATTCTATGTATTTATGTGCATTATTATGCACATTACATATTTATCAATATAAGTTAAAAATAATACAATAAATATAAAAATATTAAAAATAATTAGCTAAATAAAGGAACAAAAAATGGAAATATAAATAAAAAATCTAAATCAAATGAAAATTACAAATCCTTAACATAAAATTACTTTTTGACGATCTTTCATGGATCCTCTTCCTAATACTGCCATTTTACACATTGTTTCTTCTTGTAAACGTTTCATAGAATTACCTTTCGGTCCCAATAATTTTCCAACAAAATTAAACTGCAAATAGTATATTTCAACGTATAAATTTATATTTATTTATATATTCATCTAAATTATTAGATTTATAACAAAATACAACTACCTTTGGATGTTCTCGAACAGGCACCAATACTTTAACCGAAACTCGAATTGGTTTTTCACGATAAATATCCACATATTTCGGATCTCTTACTGGTTTGCCAATAGCTTGAGTTTTCTGAATTTCTACAGAGTAAAATAATTATTTTTAAATTTTTGATATATTAATATAAATTATTAATTTAAATTATAAGATTTTATAATATAAATTATAGTATTTTTATTTTTTATTATCATAATTAACAAATTATTTATAAAATAATATTTATTTATAAAAAATTAAATTGCAGATTAAATTTTAAAAAAATTTTTAAAAAATAAAAATCATAATTTATAGCAATATTATATAATTATATAAAATATATTTATATAATTATATAAAAATATAAAATAATTTATAACATTATAATATACATATAAAATATTAATGAGTTTTTTATATATTTTTATACACATATACATACATGTAAATATTAAAATGATATTAAAATAGTATAAAAATACAATATAATATAATATAAAGATATAATAATTTAATATATATATATATATGGTTTAATATTTATTTTTTAAATTAACATTAATATTTATTGTTTAAATTAAATATATTCTATTTTGAGAAATTTATATATTATAAAAAATTGTATTATTTATTTTAATATAAACTATTTTAATAAATATACAAATAATTAGCAGCTGTTGTTAAAAATTTTTTATTTATAAATATTATCGATAATATAAATTTCTAGAAAATAATTAATCTAGTAATCCATAATGGTATAATACAAATGATAGTAGAAAAAATTTAAAAAAAAATTAATTAAATTATAAATTCGTTTTCGTTTATATATTAATCTAACCTTAAACATCAATCAATTCGATTTCAAAGTAAAAAAAAATTGCGCAACAAGAAGTTATATCAACAAATCACAAAAATAAATATACAATCAACAAACGAAACATAAACACTCACATTACAAATAATAAAAATGATTAAAAAACAATGAATAAAAACAATAATATAACAGTCATATTTACCTTGATCAATTAGTCTTGTTGCATTAGGCCATTTTTGCGAATCCAATTCAACTTTTTCTTGTAAAAGTTCTCGAACATATTCTCCGGCTTTGTCAACTTGATACTTCTTTTCATCACGTTCCTTTTCCGACGATGTTTTTGCCTCCGAATCAGAATTTTCTTCTCTTTTATACTTAAATTCACCATTACTTGGTCGATCGCTCATGATTATCACTGTTTTGTTAGATGGTTCTAACGATATCAAACGAAAAAATAATAATTCTATTAATTAAATAATTAAGTGGAATAAATCATTCGCGCACAACGCGTCTTTGGAACAGAGTTGCAATTTGCAATGGCTGAACGCTGACTCTTCCACTTCCAACTAACCTTAAGGCGTATATGCATGTGTGAATTATTTATATATCTATAAATTTAAATATTTTTATAATAAATCATAATTTTTTATTTTATTAAAAAATATTTTTACAAAATAATTAGAAATATAATGAAAATAATTTATGTCATTTATTATATAAATTAAAGTATAAGTATGATTATAAAAAAAATAATAAAATTTAACATTTATTAAAAATAAGTATAGAAAACAATTTGTAATTATATTAAAGATTTTAATTAAAAATATATAATATTAATAATTAAAAAATAATAAGTAATGCATTATATGTTTATTTGTATTATAATGATAGTTATGGCTTAAAACAATTAAGGTTATTTTTAAAATTGTTTATACTTTTTTTATTATATAATAATTCACTATTGAAAATTCTAGTATTTTTATATATTTTTGTATATTAAAAAAAAATTTTTAATGTTGATCACATTTAAGTATAAGTACTATCAGTATTTGTATTAGCTGCAGATGGCGAAAATATCGAAAATATTATAACCTAAAATATAATATATTATATTGAATTTCTTTATTAATTATGCATAAAAGTACAAATAGAATAAAATAAATAAATATTTTTCAACATGAGTCATATTATAGTAATACGAAGCTATAAACCTGGCGATGAAATTAATTGTAAAGAATTAGTGAAGATAGGTGTGATGTCTTCTTTAAATTCAACATTTTTTGGAATTGTACTTAAAGAACTGACTTTTCAATTAATGATATTGTTTGCTGCTATAATGTTTATTTTCTTTGGATTACCTTTAACAGTTTGCCTTTTAGTTATTCCTCTTGTCATTTTTTTTGTGTATGTTGGAACTTACATAGGTTTCACTGCGAAAGCTATGGAAGTTAATGAAGAAGTTTCTAATATACCAAGGTAAAAATTTTTTGTATTTATTTATTTTTTTTGTGGTAATGTGTTTTTTATAATTAAATTAAAAATTAAAAGTTAAAAATATATATTATATTGTTATAATTAAAAATTTTGTAATTAAAATATATTAAAAAAAAATAGCATGTAAAATTTTGACCACAGAAACAAATTTCAGATGAAAATAAATTTTAATGTAAAAACTTCTTCATTTAATTATAACAGGATTTACATGTCTAATGCCTTTTCATGCTTTTGGATTGCTGAAGCATTTGAACCTTATTTAATGACTCATTCTGCAAAGAATATACATTATAATATAATGACAGAACAACAGTTCCGTAATTCAAACATTGATATTTCATCTCAAGTTAAGAAGATTGTAGGAACTGTTGCCTTATGTAAAAGTCATAGATTAGATAAAGGTGCTTGGATCAAAAGATTATATGTACATCAACAATATAGAAGAAAAGGAATAGCTTCGTGTCTTATCAATGTTGCAGTGCAGTTTGCTATTGACGAAGGATATAGTTGTGCTAATGTTGTTGCTTCAGAATATACAGAAGGAGGAAGAGAACTATGTCTTAAAAAAGGTTTTGAATTACAACAAATGTATCATAAACCCATTTTGGGTTCACTTATAACTATATTGATGTATGAATTGACATATCAAATTAAACCTGGTGAAGATGATTATGTGCCTACAGTTTACACTAGATCAATGCTTAATAAGTAAGCATTAAATCTAATGTTTTTTAAATACAGGACTAAATTTTTATAATTTATAAATTTCATAAGTCTGATTTTGTATTTTCCAAAAAAAGTATAAAAATTGCATTTATAGTTTATTCTATAAGAATATTTATATTATATAATAAATGTAATACTTTATACTGTATTACATATATTCTAAATTAAGATAGATTACATATTGATAATATAAAATATTATTAAATATGACAATATTATGTTTATCATTGTATATAATATAAAAAAATATATTTTTCCTACTTTTTCATATATTCCCAATACATCTGAAGTTCTTTATTTTCCCAGTGTTTCTCTGTTATTTTGGATAAATATCTGAAATAAAGAAAAGAATTTTATGTATCTTTTATTATAAAAAAGTTATAATTTTTATTTTGAATGAATTTTTTAATTTTGTACACAGATCTGTTTGATATATTTTTAGTTAACAATCTTATTATTTCTTTAGGAAAATTTTTTAAGCAAAAATTTTTATTTTAATTATTATCAATTCACATAAAATTGAAAGTTTTATTAAGAAAGTCTGGAGACTTATATCATAAAAATATATAGATAGAATATAATCCTATATCATACATATTAAAAGTTTCTGATAATGGGAACTATTGGCATATAGAACATAATATCTATTTTCTTAAATAAGAAGAGATTATAACTTATAAAAAATATTAATCTAAACTTATAAAAATATATCTAATCTAATAAAAAAAATTTGAAAAAAATGTATACGGTGTTTATAAGAAAATAATACAAGAAAAGTGGATTCTTTATTTCATTACGTATATTTATATAATTTAAGATAATAAACATATAATTTATATATATTGCCATATTAGAATAAATCATTCATAAAATAGTATTAATTAATTTTATATAATTTATAAAATATTACTATTAAAAAATATGTATATATTACTATTGTATTATTCAAAATAGCATATTATAAAAAAAAATTTTGTCTAGGATTTATATATATATATAACATTTGTTTTCATAAGTTTGAATATAATGAAAAAATATTTATATTAATAAAAATATATGTGTTATTATATATGTTTTAATACAAAATGGTTTATAATATAGTCTATTTTTTAATCTGTATAAAGATATATAAAATAATAATAAAAAATTTGAAATTTGCTTTTAAAATTTATCTATTAGAAATTAAATATTATTTATTTTAATAATGTACTTACTTTTTCTGTATTTCTTGAAGTAAACTTTTCTCTCTTTCTGTAATACCATTTTTTAATACATCAATATTCATATACAATTCTTTTAAATTTTGAATTCCAACTAAATATGTATCAATATCTTTGCATTGCATAGAATACCATAATGCTAATTTAGCTAATTCTGTATCCTACAAATTTTAGTTTTTAATATATGTATCATAAAAGAAGAATTTCCGGAAAATATTTATTGCATAGAAATTTAAAACTTATATACCTTGCAACATCTAGCAGCATCTGCGCATATTTTTTTTGTCTCTTTTGAACTAGGATGCCAAGCTGGTGGACCTTTATTTGTTAAAAGCCCCATACATGGCGCAGAAGCACTAATTATACCAATATTGTGTGCCTAAAATTTATTTAATAATTTAAACTATCAAGAAATATAATATTCAGAATTATCAATTAACAATAAAATAAATAAATAAACAATAAACAAACAATAAATAATTACGAAATTTTACCTTGAAAAATGGAATATATTCAGATAAAGTATCATCTATTAAAGTATATCTGCAATAACTTAATATGCAAGAAATATTAATATTACTTTTCTCGATACATTTCTTAAAATGGATACCGGATATCCGGTGATACCAATATATTTTGCTTTACCGTCTGCAACTTGTAATGATAATTCTGGCAAAGTTTGTGTAATTACTATATCTAAATTTGGATCAAATTCAATATCATGAACCTGCAAAATATTTAATTAATAATTATTAATTAATAAATAAAATATATAAAAACTAAATGGTTTTGATAAAAAGTTAAATATTGTATACTTACTTGTATGACGTCAACATAATTCAAACCAAGAAGCTCTAAACTTTTATCAATACTTTTTCTAGTTTTCTCTTTAGAGAAATTAAACATATTTTCGTAATCTAATTCATATCTTCCGACTTTTGTGGCAATATAATATGCTTCACGTGGAATACCTTTCAAAGCCTAAAATTCCAATATTTAAATATTGAATAAATAAAACAAAAATATATTTTCAATATGTAAAAAAAAAATATAAAATTACTTTTCCAATGATAGTTTCAGAACGACCTTGGCCATACCATGGTGCAGTATCAATGTAATTAATTCCTCGTTTTATTCCTTCACGTATCGCTTCAATTGCTTTGGCTTCATCGAATGTACTATCGCAAAATATAAAAACATAAAATGATAAAAATCATGAATGCAAAAAGAATCTTTAATAACTTATTTTTGAACTTTTGAATTTTTTTATAAATGTTAAAAAAAATTACATACTATTTTTATAATATAACAATTTAAAAAAAAAAAGAAAGAAATACTAACCCGTAATGGCAACCAAGTGGTCCTCCACCAAATGATAATTTGCTGACCATTAATCCGGTTTTGCCAAGTTCTCTATATTCCATAGTTTTCACAGCTTCTAAATCGTGAAAACCCTCAACATATGTCGGTGGTAACATTTTTCTAAATACCAATAATGAAACTAATTAAAATCATAATAATCTTTATTTGAAATATCTATTTATGCGAAAAAAATTATATTGTATTATTATGAAAAATATTTTAATTAAGATATTTTATAAATTTCATTAAAATTTATGATAAAAAGAAAAAGAATGAAAATAATATTGCATTTTTTTCATACTAGTATTACATTTTGACAAATGAAAAACTTAATAAAAAATAAAATATATAAATTAGTTAATGATAAAATATTGAATAAATAAAATTATAATATCTTTGTGACATTCATTTTAGATAATAAAAATAAAATGAAATTGATATTAAAATATACAAAGACACCATTGTCTTTTATGAAGCATTTTATTTTATGATAAATACATTAATTTATATTTTCTATTCAAATAATTTAAATAAATCAATAAATTTAAAATAAGTTATTTTATAAAAATATTTTACTATTCATTTAATTGTAATTTTCATTTTTACATTTAATTTTAATTTTATCAAAATATTATTAATTAAATAAAATATAATATTGCTTTTTTATAAAAGAATAATGTTATCTTAAAAAGAAGATAAATTTAATATATTTTTCAAATTTTTATCATACTGAAAACAAAAATTTTCTATAATTGAGTACAATTTATATTTTCACTATGCTAAAATTGTACTGCAATAATCGATTTATTTTATTCGTAAACATATCGAATTTTATCAAATATTAAATATTTTAAATTCTTAAATATTAAATATTTTATATTCAATACTTAAGATAAATTATTTAAATATATATACTATTTTATTTTCACAAAAAGTAATAAGGAACTCTTGGCACAAAAATTATTTATATATCAATCAATTTATATCTTTCTTATATATTTAGTATTTAAGAACTGACATTCTAAGTAAATATATTTTAACTATTTTTTTCAAAAACATTTATAATCAAGACATTTATATGTAAAGATAATATTATCTTGGAATGTACGATAAAAATAATAACTTTAAATGCATATAAAGAATCATGTATTATTTGACTTGGTTTTAATCTTATGTATATATTTTATAATTATTTTTTTTTATCATAATTTAATCATGAAATTTATATTTAAACAAGAAATTTTATTTCCATTCACATTTAAGAAAGTTTTAAGAAAATTTTTTTATCCAATGATGCACAAATATAGAAATTAACACTCTAAATGATAAGAATAAAACTGATTAAAAACATAGTGAGTTCCAAATATTAAATAGCAGCACTGCCATCTTTTTCAAATGAAATGAATTTTAATATTATTTCTGTAATATTGACCGGGATAAAATATATATGCTTATATTTTTATTAGTAGAAAAAAGACAGAGATATAGTAAAAATTTGGAAATCGGCGCCATCTCTAGAATATAAATGAAAATAGTGTAGGTAAAAAAGGAAATAGAAAGAGTAACAGGATCAGAATTAACTAAAGGCGCCATCTATCAAATATCATAAATATTTTAATTATATTTTTAAAAATAATCAAGAGATGGCGCTGAGATTAACTTTTATCATATATTTGTTGTATATTTTTTTAAAAATATTCAACAGATAGCGCTAAGATTAACTTTTATCCTATCTTTATTGTATATGTATATACAATATATTTATATATTGTATATGTATATTTTTTTTCTACTATTTGCTCCCTTTATTGGCTTTTTAATTTACACTCTTAAAAGATAGCTTCGATAATTAATTAACTTTATTATCTTTTTTGCCTAATCTATTGATTAAAAATCTTAATAGAGTATTTATTTAAAAAAACAAAAAGTCTTATAAATGTAGGTTTAAAAATAATTTTAGAATTACAAGATGTTTTTATTAATATTATTTATTATTAATAAAAATTAAGCATATTATCTATAGTATATATTCAATATGTGTTCCCTATTTATTTTAATTATATATATGTTTTTATAGAAACACAATACATTTAAATTTGATGGATTTTTATCTATAAAGATATTTAATAAATATACTATATAATAAATAATATATAATAATATATATAAAATAATTATCTTATTAAATGAACTGATATAACAAATATTGCTAAGAAATAAGAGGAATATTGGAAATTTTTTAATATGTATGTATTTCTATAAAAAAACGTACTAAAATATTTACTGAACAGAGGACAGATTAAACATATATTAGAGGAACAAAAGTAACAAAAACATTTTTTTTTAACTCAGAAACTAATAGTTTTTAAATTCATATTTATTAAAATTTTTTTATTTCTTTCGATGAATAATACATGTTTCTAAAGTTTGTCCCCAATTTTTTTTATACAATCTATGTTTATATTCTTTTATGATATAAGAAATATAAATATATAATATATCTTTTATAATCTTTTCTATGTATCATATAGAATGTATATATTTTATATATAAATAGTTAATTTTAATATAATAATAGTATATTTTATATAAATAGTTTTTTTATCATAGAATATTATATAAAAATTATATTTATAATTAAAAAGAATTTTATGTTAAAATTTTCAAGAACAAGTTATTTGAGCTTCTTTTCGAATCTAAAAAAAAATTTTTATTAAAAAATTAGAGATATTTTTAAAAAAATTATATTAATAATCAATAATTAATTATTTTTATATTCAAATAACTGGATACATTATATCATATCAAATTCTGAATATATTTTTATATCTTATATTTTGCATATGTTTTATTGTATTTATATTTTTAAATTTTTATATGTATATTGTTAAATTTTCATTTTATATATATTTTTATATATCAAATTGTAGCTAGATATTATTTTATATAGCATGAAATCATTATAATACATTGCATCTTAATCTTAAATAAATTATCAAAATAAATTCTTGGATTAAATATAATATGAACATTTTAGTATAAAATTAAATATAAAATTTGTCATTTGATATCATTTTTATAATATTTAATTATAAATTTATAATATTTAATCAATAATATTGTATTAGAAAGATCATAAAAATAAAGATCATAATAAAAAAATTTATCCTTTGGAAAGCGATGTCGAGTTAAAAATTAACTTAAACTTCTTTTATATTTCAATTTTTTCTAATTTAATTATATTTTATATTAACTTTCTTTTTATATTACAATCTCTTCAAATTTAATTAATTTTTATCTTATATCTTTATTATATTTTATTGAATTATTTTTAATTAATTTTTATGCCAAATTAATTTTAATAATTAATTTTTATTGCATATTTAAAAAAACAATCTTTGTAGATCATTTATATTAAAATCTATAATTAAATATGTGTATTATAAAATACTTCAATTTTCGCGCGGTTTAAGTAAATAAGGAATCGTGTCGTTCCAACCAATTAGAAACGTCCTGGACGAATTTGTAACACGTATTTAGGCAAGTAGTGTCATTCGTCTATCGAAAATCATCGTAGTCAGACGATTCTCTAATTTAGGGACATACAGTAATAGTAAGTAATTTTATTCTATTATTTTATTACTGTATTTATAAATTTGTTTATTCAATAAAATATTAAACATTGTGATAACAAAATTAAGTAGTTTTTGGATTTCTTTGTACTTTTTTGATTGTTTATTTGATTGTTATCAGTGAGGTTTGAGGTTACCGGTAACTTTTATTATATTATGTCTTTCAGCTAGAATTTCAGTTTAATTATTGTTTTATTTTAATATATATATTATAATCTTATACATTTTTTATGATTTTTGTTTGTGATTTTTATTTTTAAAAAAATCTAGATTGTTTGATTGCAATTCTTCAGGAATTTTGAAGGAATATATGGTGATTAATAATCGATAATTCTTCTGATATTCAGGTAATATTCTTTTTTGCAAAAATAGACATATTTAGAATAAGTTTTTATTCATATTGAAACAAATATAACAGATATTATATATATTTATTAGAATCAATTTTATATTATTAAATTAAATTATTTTAATAATATATTTTTCTTTTTTAAATGTGTACGTGAACGTTTATTCGTACTATTTATATATTTATCTTTCTTTTTCGCTAATTCTGTAGGTTGTAAACATTTCTTATAATATAGAGTTTTTATGAGAGGTCATACTTGATGTGTTTTGGCCAAATTACAAAGCATATTCCTTTCCTAACTCGTGATTCGATAATCGAAATTAGCATAGATTGCTATTATAATATCGATATTTACGGTGATTAAAATGTCATTTTTTCTTGAAATATATAGTTCATTTGTTATTTAGTTTATATATATATATTTATTTCTAAGAGACTAGAGATTAGAAATATATATTATACATCTCTTTCATAAAATTAGGCATTCGCATATATCGAAATTCGATATTTCGATTATTATCAAACTGTCGATTTCTCCTTCTAATTCAATTCGATAATCGAAATCGTAGTGTGCCGTCATTTTAGTTTCGGCGATTGAAGTGTATAGACGTATTTTTTCTTGAAACTTGTGATTTTTTTTGAGATTTTGTGCTGTGTAATATTTATTTTATAGTTTTTGTTTGTGATTCATATATTACTAATTTATAATTACGTATTTTTTATTATAAATGAATAATCCTTTGGCGACTACATCATTCTTTTCTTCATCCATTTGACTATTTCAAGGTACAGGTTACAATTAGCTTATTATTCATATTATGACTTTTTGAAATGAAATTTGTACTTGATTATTGTTTTATTTTAATGTAATCGGTTAATATTTTTACAATTTATATGTATATTTGACAATTTTAATTTTTTTTTGTGCAGGTATTGTTATGTGCAATTAATTGTTAAAATGGCGGAATGGCGGGAAAAATTTCAGTAAGATATATAAAAATTTCAAATTTCAATGGGTGCCAATGAAATTGAAATGGCTTCGACGAGTGGTAAAATTTCTCATTTTTCTTTTGTATAAATTATATATTATATTATTTATTAATCTAATTATACTTCTAATCAAATTTGAAACTTAACAGACTTTGTTAATTTTTTTTATTATTTCAAAAATTCTTAATAATTATTACTCTGTTTAAAATAAATT